AGCCGCACGGAGACAGGAGTGGGGAGAAAGGGGTTGTAGGTGAAAGCATGGGGGGGATCAGCCCTTTGGAAGGTGGGGGCTGCAGGGGCTGCACCCATCCTGGATGGACAAACCTTCCTCGACAAACATCCCATTGCGCAAGTTTGGGAGGTGCTGTAGTCCCAAAGCCACCAGTGACCTAACCACTAGAGGGGGACAACCCACGTTGGGTGAAATAGAGTCTCCCCAACCATCACCCAGCTCCCCAAGACCCCAACTCCAGCTCCACACCACAGATCAAATGGAGGGAAGTCTGGAAATGAAGCAAGCTGCCCAAGGCAGCATTGGAGAACAGCAACTGTTCCCACTCCTGATCCAGCCAAAGCATCTCCAGCAACTCCAGCTCATCTTTCCTGCCTCCAGGTACAGTGACCAGATACCTGGGTCCAGACTGTCACCATCTGAGCTACCACCACCACCCACAGGCTCTCTGCAGACCAGTGCTGCTGGGCCATCAAGGGGGAACCTTCTTAGCACAGCTCAAAGGCCACCCTGACCTTCCCCATCCATCCCTGGTGGAAGCAACCCCCGTTCCTCATCAAGTCCTCTCCATGTCCCACTGCCCTGCAGCAAATGGGGACTGTACATGCTCTCCCCATGGCCGTAGAGAAGGAGTGGGGTGCTTGCTCCTCCCAAGGGTGCTCATCAGTGCTTTTACATCCCTTGGGCTTCTGCAAGCTGACATGTCCACCTCTTCTCCTAGACATCAGCACATGGAGAAACAAACCGTAGTGGGAAAGCCAATTCCAGCTGGCAGATTGGGGCAGGGAAAGGAGAGCAGGAAGCACAGGGAATGCTTCAGGTAGATGTGACCCACAGAAGGAGCAGGTGAGGAGAGCAAGAGGCATTTGCAGAGGAGTGAGAAGATGTCTCTGATCACGGGGAGACCCAACACGCCAGGGGCACGTATGTGGGCAATGCCACATCAGAGGCTTTGAGATGAGGTCCTGGAGACCCCAAAGCACTCCTGGGAGAGGCTCTTCTTGCTTGGCGCTCCACCACCTCCACGCAGAGCCCGGATATAACCGTCTGTGACAGTTACCAAGGCCTCAGGGCTTGGTGGCACTGCAGCAAGAGAACAGCTCAAACATGGGCTCAGCTCCCAAGACCTCAGCAAGTCTCTGCCCTCGTGATCCATCCCACTCTTCTGATGTCTAAGTGATGGAAACCAGCACACCCCAAGAGGTGTGTCCATTCGAAGTGATGGACAGGAGCAATCAAGAGACAACAGGACCTCTCAGAAGCTCCCTCTCCATCTTTCTGATGACCCCAGTGCACACCACGCACTGAAGCATCACCGGGTGCATGGAGGTTTTCCAGCAAGACTTTGGTGCTACAAAGCAATGTGCCACAACCTCATTTTGCAAGGGCAGATCTTCTCCTGAGGCAGTGCTGTAGAGTTTCTGACTTCTGCTGGCCCTCTCATTTAAGTTGCTGGAGAGCATCTCTCAGTCACCAGCTCAGATTTGGTGATGTGGTGCCACCAGGAGCTTTCCAAGGCAAAGCTAGAAGCAGCAGAGGTGGCAACATGCTCTTCCTATTCAAGATACCTGGCGCAGCCCTTTCTAGGGTGGGTTTAGAGTGTCAGCAGATGGACAATCCCTCCTGCCATGGAACTAGAAGCACATCCTGTTCTGATCCTGGCTTGGGGACAGCCATGAAAGCCTTCCACAACACAGCATCTAACTGGACACTTGTGGGGACAGCAGGGAAGCTGGTGAGCACTGAGAACGCACTGATTCTGGGCTTCTCTAGAGCAGGTCTTTCCCAAAGTCCTCATCCCAGGTCCACTGATGACCGCATCTGGTGAGATGTAGGGGTTGGAAGAGTACCTGGTGCAGACCAGTGGCCCCAGGGTCAGGCTAAGGTGCTGTGGGGAACACAGGGCTTCCACTTAGCTTGAACCACTGAAAATGGAGTTGAGTCCGGTTCTCTTCTAGCACATAAAGAGATGAACAGAAGGGATCCAAGTTTGAGGTGCAGCATGAAGGATCCTACATGGATTATGTCTGCCAGGAGCTGCAAGGAAAGGCAGGAACACCAGAACAAGCCCGGAGAAGGGAAGGGCTGTGCCTGAACACAGCCACGGAAGGACTGTGCTCTGCAAGAGTCAGCTACAGCTCTGCAAGGACACAAAAGCTATTAGAAGGAAGCTTCCAAAGGAAATCTGACTGGAATAGGATCTGCATCCCACATCATGAGCTGTGGATGCATAGATGGAAATTCCACACCTCTTGCTTGGTAACAACTTGTCCTGCCTTCAAAAATAGAGTAAATAGAGATGATGTTCTCCATACAAACTGCTGATACTGGAAGTCAGACCCTCACTCACCAGACTTTTCAGGGACCAGACCAGTTATCAAAGGTTTAGCTACCAATGTCTTACCCCCTTTTCCAGGGTTTAGAAGCCAATCTCTATTTGCCACTTCCACCCCCTCTAAGGAAAATGCAACTTTTGAAGGCAGAGGTTTGCTGGAGTTTGACAAACTTGTCCTGTTTTTCAGCCACTGCAGACTGGTGAAGGATCTTCGTGCCTTGAGGATGCCCCATAGCACAGGCTTTACCTGGGAGGCTGCTGGTCCTGAGGGACAGATCCTGCAGCTCAGGGTCCTTCTGAGCCTCAGAGAACAGCTTTAAGGTGCAAGTCCTTCAGAGAAGCTGTTTGCTCTGACCACACTGCAGGGACTGTCACCCAGAGCTCAGCTGTGAGCTACAACCAGACACAGGGGCTGGTGAGTCACACCGAAACCACAGGCACATCCATCAGCTCCACAACACAAGTCCTTTAACCAAGTCTTAAAACCCAGTTGAAGCCTGGCAGCCTGGAATGCTCTGCCTTTGGAACACCCAACACACCCCATCAGCCTCCCTGTTTCATCCAAGAAGGGTGAAACACAGCTCAAAGCTTGAGTTTTCTCCAGAGCTTCATCTGGTTCATAGCAGGGCTGGGGCCACCACACTGCAGCGGCTCAGAAACACACGTGTTGAGTACGTGAAGAAGCCACAGGAAACCCGAAGTGCAGCCCCCCAACAGCACCTGCTCACACTCCTTCAACCAAGCTCTACCAGAGCTTGGCCTGCACACAACAGCCAACCTTGGGATCCCAAAGCTGCACCCATTGCTCCAAACACAGCACAGCACTGGATTTACCACATAGAACTAGCCGGAGATGGCACCTGGAACCAAGAAACACAATGGCAAAGACCAGGATACACCCATGGCTGTGTCTGGAGGTCAGCTCTGGTCCAGGCAAGCAGCTGAGCAGATAGATCACCATCAGCAATGAAGGGAGAAGGTGGTAACTGTGGTTTGAGGGACTAAAATGGATTTCTGGGGAAGAGTGAGGCTGATGTTCTCAATTCCATGATGAAAGGGCTGAAACACCAAAGCTCCTGGAGGCAGCTCAACAGGTTTGGCAGATACAGCTCCGGGTGTAAAGCAGGGGATGGGGAGAAGGGGGAAGACACACATAACCTAAAGCCATGTCCTGTGCAAAGCACCCAAAGAAACACCACCAAATCCACCTGAGGCAAGGGAAGGGCTCCAACTCTCACAGTGTCAGCACCCCAAGATGTCCACAGCCAGAACTGGACACAAACAAGCACTCTTACGCTGACACCCATAAGGGACCCAGACAGCCCCACAGGAGTCTCAGCCACGCTGCCCATGCTAGCCCTGACTCAAAATCCAAGCCATGGGTGTCCCTCAGCATCAACTGGTGCAGCATAAACCTCATGGATAGGAAGAAGAGGACACCAAACCTGCAGACACATCAACCCCTTATCCCAGGACAACAAGGTTAAGGTCAGGATCAATCCCAACCTCCTGGCAAGCACAAGGAATTGCATCCCCACCACAGCTCCCTACCTTGACGTCAGCGATGAGAGCATCCTCGTCCTCAATGCCAGTGGGAACACACTTCTTGTGCAGGGGGAGTGATTCCAGCTTGTCCACAAGGCAGCGCAGCCCCTCCAGCTCAAACTGGGTCAGATGCACCTTCCTGCTCTTGCGCGGGCTGCCTCCATTGGGATCACAGGCCTGGCCGTTCTGGGAGCCCCGGCTGGAGTCAGAAGAGTCTATGGAAGGGGTCTTCTTCAGACCTGGCAGGCTGCTCCGGCAGCTCTTGCCCAGTTCATCATAGTCCACGTTGGCACCGTTGGCAATGGGGCTGGTGAGAATGGACCGTCTCGTGACTGGTCGCCTGGGTTCCTTCCCTGTTGCATCCTCATCCTCTTCCTCCTCCTCTTCCTCTTCCATGTTTACCGAGTCTGAGGAGCTCAGCTCCATATCTACCATGATGGAGAAAGAGTGAGAGAAGAGCACAGTGGCCAGAGGAGATGTTTCTAGAGACATTCCCCCAAGCAACCAGAGATGCTGGAGCAAGAGATAGGAATGGGACAAAGTAGGATGAAAGGATGGGACATGAAGCAGCTGCAAAAGAACAGCTAAAACCCTTTCCCATTCCTGGCTCATTTTGTGGGAAGGTGAGGCACAGGACATAGGAAAACATCCAAGAATAGGAGACAGCAACGCCCTAGATTGGATTTCATAGAATACTGGGATGGTTTGGGTTGGAAGGGACCTTAAAGATCGTTTAGTCCAACCCATGGGCAGAGGCATCTTTCACTGTATCAGGTTGCTTGAAGCCCCGTCCAACCTGATTTGCTTTGGAGAGCTTGGGATCTGCAGCCACCTGGTCCTGAGTGACTTGGGACCTCGATCCTGCCTTCACGATGGGAGAAAGAGGATGTGGACTTTAACCAGCTGACTGTGAGGTCTCCGAGCCTGATAAAACACCCTCCTCTGACAGGCTCTCCTGCTCCCTTCCTCTCAGCTCTCTGCACTAGTTCCCACTTCACACTGCTCAGTGGTAGAGAAAAGGTGAGGAAGGTGCTGGAGATCTCCAGGAAGGGAGAGGACAGAAACAGCTTTTCCCAAACCAAGTGCTGAGGGGGATCTCCAGAGACCCACAGGGAAAGGACAAGAGCTGGGAGCTGTGTCCCTCTGCTAGGGGCCCTTGGATAGAAATCAAAAGGCCCAAAGAGGCTGTAGCTGGGAGGAGGGGTGCCCTGGGGTCACTACTTACAGCCTCAGAGGGGAGTGAGGACAGATTTGCTTCAAGGCCCTTGTGTGGAGGCTCAGGCCCTGCTTGCCTTGGCTGTAAGGAAGCCAAACATTCCTTTTTCAAGAGACTCCCTGCACACATAACTTTGACAGTGTTTTGAACTCCATGTGTAGGAAGGTCCTGATCAGCCAGAGACAGCACAGTGCTGGGGATTGCAACTTCCCTCCACCTTCTTCTGTTAAAGGCTTTGTGTGTACCAGCAAGGCCAGGAACTTGTGTGCTGGTTTTACACAGCAAAGGAACCTGGCCTGTTGCAAAGGAGGAAGCAAAACTGGCTGGTTTGACTTCTTGTTCAAAGGAAAAGAAACGGCACCTCCTTTGGCCAGTCTGCAATGTCATGAGCTATCTTCTGACTGCTCCGTGCAGCTAACACCTTGTGAAATAGAGGAAGTGATGGTCCCAAAGTGATGCTTCCCCTGCCCAGCACCCCTGCAGGAGGGTGCTGGGGTGCTTTGGTACACGTGAGAAGGAATCAGGGCTGGATGGTCAATGCAGGGGGCTTACCCATACTGAGTGATTCCTTCTGGAAGTCCTTGGTGAGATGTGAGCGGCTGGTGATGCAGTAGACGTAGCGCTCCAGCACGTACCAACACATCTCATAGTAAAAGGGATAACGAAACTTATTTGGGACCTGCAAAAGAGGAGAGGAGAAAGGGAATGGCTCAGACCTCCTCCACCACCAGGCAGCACAGAGATAGCTCTTATTTATTACTGCTGCCTCCAACCAGACCGATCCCCTCCTGAGACAGGAAACGCATGTACATGTGCAACAGCATCATTCATCCTTCTGGCAGCCTGATGCAATTCTCTTTGCAGAAGGATATTATCACCAGGCAGAGCAGAGACCAGGCACTACTCACTTGCAAGCCATTAACATTTCATTTCTCTTTGTTAGGGTTGCAGCTCTTCCCCCACAGACATTCTCATCAGTACAAGAAGTGGCAGAGTGCCACAAAAGGTTTCAGCTGAAGGGAAGAGGTTCAAGGCCTCTTCCCAAACCCCAGCACAGCATCTGACAGTGTCTGTATGGAGAGGAAGGGCTGGTCTATGCAGAGGTTTAGTCAAGCTCAGCTATTTAGCAGAGGCAATCAGGGCTCTGTCCTATCTGTCACAACATTCACATGCTGGCAGAAGATGCTCCTGACCCTGCTGCTGTCCTCGCCTTCCTGAGGCTACTCAGGTGGTGGAGCAGGCACATGCTCCATCATCCCGTGTCTCAGCTGCTCTGATGATGGTCTGACATCTGAGGGCTAGCCCACAAGTCCTGCCTGCTGCAGCACCCTGAATTGCTTTGGAGAAGCCATCAGACTGTCCACCACAGCCCTGAAGCCTCTCTGCACAGCAGGACCTGCGTCTCCAGAAGAAGCAAGCAAGAACATCCACTTGCCAACAGCATTCTCTGCTCCAGACCTGTACATTTAGGAGGCTTGGACATCATGCTCACACACAGCTGGAGTTAGAGCATCTCTCCCAGGGTGAGATGACTTGTCTGCCTGCACAGCACTGCTCTTGTCTGCACCCTTCCCACCGCCCCAGGAGCCCACGTCCTCCTGCTCTCCCAGAGGTTCTTACCCGTGTCCGGTCCTCGATGCTGTAGATCCGGAGCTGCATAGGGATGTTGAAGCTGTGTAAGAAGTTGCCTCCAAAAACCAGCGTGTCCATGGGAGTGTACACAGCATGGATCCAACCTTGGAGAGAAAGCAGAGCTTGAAGAATCCTGGGGGAGGTCAAGGTCTCACAAGTGACTGTCCCTAATTCAGACTCTGCTCACCCTCACTGGTGAATTACTCAGTACCTCTAAGAGCTAGAGACAGGCTTGTACTCAAGCACTTCAATACACTTACAGATCTGTCCTCACATCCTCCTGAGGTGGCCCATGTGCCTGTATCCACCTCCTGTCCAATGCTTTTTGTCATCCTGGTATCTCTGGGAAGTCGTTTCCTAATCGTACTAGGCCTAAGAACACCGGCAACAAGGAAAACAGTCTTCCAAAGGCTGTTCAACAATTAGAACACCTTCAAAGCAACTCAAGTTCCAGCTCTGTTATCTCCAAGGCCAAGCAATCCAGCCAAGCCCAACGTTTTGGGAATTCCAGCACTGGTTTCCTTAAGGCAAGGCCCCTCAATTCAAAAGAAGTGGACTCAAATGAGTAACTTGTACAATCCCTGTTGTTTTCTGTTCCTGGTCCTGCCGTAAGCTCCAGCACAGCTTATCCCTGCACTGCTGTTGGAGATGAAACAGGGTTACAGCAGCCTTTGACATCTGAGACAGTTGTATGGACACAATCAGTTGAGGCTCCAACAATCCTTCTCTCAATAAGGGGGTATTCCCTAGTGCAAGCACAGCATGTTACAGACATCCCACATCTCCACCCCAGGTTCTAAAAGGCCACTCCTTGCGACCAGTCAGCTTGAGCTGCTTTTTCATCTGCTTCATCTCTCCTGCCTTTGCTCTTTTCTAGCACAGCACTAACTGTGCATGCAGATACTGCTGATGCCCTCCAGTTATTCTGCTTCCTGAACCAAGTCAGGCTAAAGGCTTCTCTGCACTCTTGAGAGTGTTCCCACTCCCAACCTCAGTCTCCTTGCACAAGCCCTCTGCAAAGCAGTTACCTGCAAATCTCTCCATATTATTGCTTCCCAGCTCCCTGCTGGGCTTCAGTGTTTCCCAACATCCTCTTTTCCAGCTGTATGCTTTTCAGTTCTCCCATATCCAGTACATGCAGACTGTTCCATTGCCTTTCCTCATGTCCAGAGCAGTCCCCTTGCTCCTTAAACTCACACACTGGCTCCCTTCCTTGCTTCACAACTGGACTATAACTGTACAGTGATCTCACAAGATGTGAGGGTAAGGAAGGTGAGGAGCTGTGCTGCCTTGGGCCACTATTCCGCATGTCAAAAGGAAAGGCTCTGAGAAAGCCTCCTTTAATGACTGATCCAGAGTGATGTGAGCCAGCCACAGCTTTCCTGTCGCTTGGGCTGAATCCCCAGTGCCATGAAAGGCATGTTTTGGGAGCTGACAAGCAAGAGGATGGAGCCACATCACATCTCCCTCTCCCAGTTACACATGAGAAGGAAGCTAAATCCTGCCTGTTCCCATTTTGTATCCTAGGCAATTCAGTCTCCTGCCACAACCCTGGCAAAGGCCAGGAGGGACCTGCACACCCTGTGGTACCTGAGGGGATGACAAATGTGTAGCCCTGCTTGAGCTCGATGCGCTGGCACTCTGACACTCTGTCCCCAAGGAAAATGTCTCCCTGCTTCCCTGAGAGAAGCCAGTTTTCATAGAGCTCCAGGTTCTGGGGTGTAGGAGGGATCAGCCAGAAGATCTGCAGATGAAGACAACACGTGTAAGTAAGTTATAACATAAGTAACAGCTACTGACTAGCCCCTGCTTCTTCCAAACCTGCCCTGCTCCCTCTCCAGACATCTAAATCTGTGCCTCTCCCCACCACAGAGGCTGCCAACCCACAGAAATTCCCAGTAAAGTGACCTGAACACATCCCATTGGAAAGGGCAAGGTGCTGAGCAAGGTCTTTCCTGACCTGACTCACTGAGCACCACAGGTAGGCTGAGCTTGGGATGCTTTGTAAGGTTTTATTTCCATAAGTGTCAAGAGAAAGAGGCCACCAAAGATACCAGAGTAATAGAGACAAGGAGATATTTACCTGTGTGTTTCTGCCACGTTAGTAAGGGCTACAACTGAACTAGAGATTTAAACCCAGGCTGTGCAGGTAGCAAGTAAGATATTCACCCCCGACTAAGCTCTTCAGAAACTGCAAGGAAAGGTGGGGGAAAAGCCCAGATTCTTCAGGTGGGGCAGAGTTTGCTGCTGCCCCATCCCTGGCAGTGTTCAAGGCCAGGTTGGACACAGGGGCTTGGAGCAACCTGCTCTAGTGGAAGGTGTCCCTGCCCGGGGCAGGGGTTGGGGCTGGAGGAGCTTTAAGGTCCCTTCCAACACAAACCAGTCTGGGATTGTATGAAATCCCTGAACAATTATTAACTGGAAGACACTCATCAGGGAAAAAACCCTGCACTCAGATGAAGTTTGCAACCAGAGAGACTCAAACTCAGTGGAGTCTGGGGTTTGGTTTTAGTGTCTTGTGCTGAGCTCAGCTCCGGGAAGTGACTTCAGCTCAAACCTGACACTGTTTCAGAGCTACTTCTCACCAGAAACCATTCAAGTGCTTTGCAGGGAAGACTCAGTAACCTCCAGTTCAAACGCTTCTGCTTTTGAAGTCACTTCATGTTTTCAGGTGACCCCTCACATACGTTGGCTATTTAACCCCACGGATGACTTAGCTTTAGGAGAGGCTCACATCCATCTTTAATGACCTTTCTTCAGCTTTTTGCTGCTCTCAGTGTGCTATTTGTGCCACACCAAGGGCTGATTAGCCATGTAGCCAAATCACCTCTCAGAAGCCAAGGCACTGGATGAATTGGGTTATTCTACTCAGTGTATTTAGCCCTTTATAAGGTTGTCTTGGCATCATCCCTACACCACAGGTTTTCAGCCTGTACCTGGTGGACCTCTGAGGGCCTGAACTACTTCCAAGAAGCACAGATAAACCAGTTTAGAATGGAAAGACCTCAACTTACCATCTGGGACCTGAATCCTCAAGGATCAACAAGAGAACAGACTAAAAGCCACTCTCCCAAAGCACCTGTAACTTTCAAACAGAGACTGTCCTCCTACCTTTCCCCCTCGGTGGATGTGGTACCACACAGAAGTGCCACCAAAGTCCACGTGGAAGTCTGTGTAGCAGCCCTTGACACTCATCAGACAGTATCTGGTGGAAAACAAGATGAGGATAAGGTGACATGAGGGCTGAGCCACATTTTAGAGCAGGTAAAACATATTCAGAAGGAATGGGCTGCCCAAACCCAGACTCACAGCAGTGCCAGCAGACAATTACTGCAGTGCTAAGCACTTCAGCTGCAGGAAAGTGGTGGTTTGCAGGAGAGCTCACTTTGCAGTTATATCACATCCCCACACAAAGCTGTAATCCAGGCATCAGGAGAGCTTCCATCCTCACACATCTGCAGCTCTAGAAACCCCCTGTCACAGGTCAATGCCCAGCAGCTGAGCTGACTCCAGATGTTTCAAGGTGGTGAGCACCAAAAGTGACACCCTTCCACACATCATGTTAGGGGCTTAAATAACTGACTGCAGTGTCCTTCCAAGTGTCACCCACTGAAATAGACTGTTCCTCCCTCTTCCCCTTGGTACAAACGACTTCTCCCTTGGGCAGTTCTCTTGCAAGAGATGCTTTGCTGCCTGCCACCACAGGAACAGCTCAGGAAGTCACTTACTTCTGCACCTTTGGATACTGCATCTCCAGGATGGCGTTTGTAGACTCTGTCTGACTCTCCTTCAGGTGCCTGGGCCACATGTTATCAACCCAGTCAATCAAATCCACCTACAGCAGGAAAGGTGGGAGACATGAGTAGAGGTGAAAGGGGAACTAACACCTTTTGATATCCCCAGGCTGTCCTAGAAGCTCAAATACCTACTGTCTGCCTGGTAGGCCCATAGCTCTCATGTGCAACCTTCCCCATGGCACTGGTGCAATCCCACACATAAAGCACGTTAGGACCAGTTGCTGTACAGTGACCCTCTGATTTCACACAAGCAGCAAACACCACAGCAAGACATCAAGCATGGTACTGGGATGCTAATCTTCTGCTTAGGGGCTAGGCAGGAACTGGTACATTGGGGATACATAAAGCCATGCTGAGAGCATCTGCCAGGGGGGGATTCGAGTCACTGAGCTTCAGGACAGCCCCAGAGCAGGCAGAGGTGTCCAGACTCCCTCTACAGTTAACAGACAGAAGTGAACGGCCCTATAAAGCTGCCCCTTCCCCTCCACTGACTGCAGGGGGAGTTCAGGATGTCCATCCCTGTTTTCCCTGTCAGACTGCTTCCTGCCCACTTCCAGCACACCTCCAAGCTTGGCCTCCTCTGCCCTCAGGAGATTTCAGCACCAGAAACCCTCCCTGCCACACCACACAACCCTCTGCAGTCCCAGCTGAACATAGGGTTGGTTCTTTACAGGACCATGGTTTCCAACCACCAAGGAAACCTCAAAGCTCAACCAGCATCCAGGCTTCAGCTGCTCTCCCCGAATGCAGCTGAGCTCTGCTGTCCCATTTAGGTCCAAGCATTACGGCCACAACAGAGCTGATCACTGCTGCAGGATGCAGGAGAGGGCTCCACACCAAGCATCAGTGAACAGCGTAGAAGTAAGGTAGGCCCAAGACTGAATGACAGCCAAGGACTTGGCAGGCAGTGGAACTGGTTAACCAGGAGAGGCTGGAAGCCAGCGTCCCCATCCTGATCCTAGTGCTCACTGTGGCTGAGCACCAATCTGACCTCTCTATTCAAACTGAGGTGCTTGTTCTTGATCACCAGCCAGCAGGAGCAGGTTACTTCCCTCTAATGATTCCACAGCCCATCTATGAGCTGCTGACAGCTCTCTGCAGAGTGACACACCAGGGACTTGACCATGGTGGCTATAGCTGAGGGTGCACAGGCTGGGGCTGACCGAGATCAGCTCCAGCAAGTGAGGTCCGTGTCAGACACTGGCTGAGCCCATGCACATTATGAGCAGCCCCTCTCCTGCATTCAGTGCCAGGCTGCAGCTCACCTAGAGGCCCACAAGCACCAGGGAGGGAAGAGCCATGCTCACCGTAGCAGGTCTCTGCACCAGGTTCTCCAGTTTGGTGTGGCTGAACTCCAGGCTGATGACGTTGTAAAGTTTCTCCCTTTCAGCCTCTGGTGTCTCATAGTAACGTGCCCACTGTGCCATGGACATCTCAATGTCCCTTTGGGTGTTCACATCCATGACATCCACCATCCGCCGGCTCCCTGCCAGGACACACAGACGTCACTAGGACCATCCCTGTGCACAGTGGACCATCCAGACGAGATGCTCCAGGAGACATGAGATCCTTCCTCAAAGAACCCACCCACACCAGTGGGATGTTTTGGCCTCTCCATAACTTCATCTTCTTCCATATCCACATCGAAACTGAACCTGCTTTAGGTCAAACTGGACTCAAGCAAGTAAAAGCTGTCATCAACTGGCTCAGGCTCAACCAGCTGCATTCTGGGGGAGCCACAAAACCAGACCTCCAGCTTTGATACACCCAGTGACTCTCTCCAGCCCTCCCAATCTGCCCAGGGCACACCAGAGGCGCACTGTGGTCCCCAGACACTTACCAACGCACAACCGCACATCATTCACACTGAAGTCCGGGTCTGGCATCCTGCAGGACAAACACTTTGCTAGAACATCATGAAATGCTTCTGGTTGCAGACCCTTCCCACCTCCAAGCCCACTATTAGCACCCTGAAGATGCTACTGGGCTTCTTTTCCTCTTGGGTGCGGGTGAAGAGCATGAAACTAGATCTCTGGGGTGAAACACAGGGCCCCAACTCCTGGCTAAGGAAGCAGATTTGGGAATAGGATACCCCATCTCCAGAGCACGAGCTGCTGTAATGGCTTCTGGCAAATGCTCAAGCAGGGTTTGAGCTAAGCAATCCCAGCTCTCATTTTAAAGACTGCTCCTATGAGTTATCCCAACACAGAGAGCAGAGCCAGAGCCGCACAAGCGGTGTATTCCACTGACACAGCAGAACTCCTCTCCCTGTTTGTACTGGCACACTTATCTGCACAAACACAGGCAGAATAGGCAGGCAGCCATTCAAGCAGCTCTTGACCCAGAGAAATCACCAAAAGCTCAGAGGAAATCCAGGTTCTCCCACACTGGAATCCTCAGGATCAAATCCCTGCCCTCCCAAACCACCCAGAAGCTAAACCTGAGCCTGGCACCGCTTCCAGTCTAAGTCACCCCACTACAGTACCTCATGCGCTGGGTGAGATGCTGCCCATCAATCCACAGCCAGGTGAGGATATTAAGAGCAGTGTTGATGATGCTGGCTCTGACAAAGGCTAATTTATCCCTCTAACCTTCATATTCATCAAACCCAAACCCCACTGACCCAGCAGAAACAGCAGAGCAGATCAGGTTTGGGGTTTTATTTAAAGCCAGCTGTAATGTTTGATAGTATTACTTGCCTTAAAACTACATCTACCACCCCACAGTGTATTTATACAAACATCATAAAACCAGCACAACGTCTTGCATCAGCACAGCTTTACACTCAAAGCTGTAAACTTTGATTGACTCTATAGCAAGAGACAGAGATGGCAGTTTAGAAGTAACCACATTGGATAAATCAGGCTGGAATTGCTGGAAAATGCCAGAAATACTACAAATTGCTTGATTCTGGCAATAGATGCTGTATTACTAGGAAAGGAACCCAGCCAGATGTTGCAACAGAGCAGCAGTGGGACTTATTTAGTTGCACTGTGATCACCTACAGCCAACTCAGTCCTCTAAGTCCAAAGAGACTGGTAAGAACAGGGTAACTGAGGTGGAAGATACTCTCACTGCAGGTAAAGAACAGTGTGGCCAGGACACTGTCATCACAGATCCAGCTACCAGGATCAGATCCCAAATAATGTGGGGAGAGGCAGGAAGTCAGGCTGGAATCATCCACCCCTAACTCTTACTTTATCCCCAAGCCATCGGAGCTCCTGAAGATAAGAGGGTCCCTCAGGCCACCCCTCTGGATGTATTCAACTGTGAAGTCTGTGAGAAACAAAAGGGAAGGTGTTAGGGGAGATTCCTTCACAGGAGTATAGACAGACTGAGGGTAGAAAGGATCTCTGGAGCTCTCCACTCCAACCCTGCTCCCAGCAAGCAGAACTCAGACTCAGATGAGGTTGTTCAGAGCAGTTGAGAGCTGAGAACCTCCTCCTGTCTCTGTGACAAGGCTCACCAGCAAAAGAAAGTGCTCTGCCTTGTTATTTCTATACTCCTTGGAGATCCTGGCCCTCCTTTGAGGCAGTTCTGTGAGCAGCATGGTGCGTGCTGCTGACAAACCTCAAACAGACCCTCTAAGGAGGAGGGAACTTGCTCCAACAAGCAGCACCAGACAGGGGAACAGCATGGATTTTGGTCCTCGCTTCCCCAAGAAGCTCTGAGCCAAGTAAGAGATGTCTGGAAGAAATGCTCCTCCCTCATGGTAGATCCTTGTGAGGGGTGCACTGGCTGCGTGATGAAAAGACACCCCACTGAGCCATGTGTGGTGAAAGAAAGGGGAGACATCCCACAGAGCCTTTGAATTAAGCATCTAGTAGACATGTGGCTGCAATTACAGGTGCTGACCCAGGCAAACCCCCTTGTTCCTGGCTGCCATGTGTCCCAGCAGGCCTGCAGATGGGCTCCTTGCTCTCCAGACTAAGGGGATTCCATACCATTTCCCACACACATTCCCTGTTACAGCTCCCCTGGCCCAAGGACTCAGCAGGCTTGAGCCAATCCTCCCTCAATACACCTCATATCACCTCCAAACCGCCTGGGACTGCACAGGATTTGTGGGAAAGCAGGTAGGAACATCTCCCACCACTTCAGTTATGGAAGTAAAGTGGTTTCCAAGCACAGAACTGGTGTGAACAGCAGTTTTTCCAACTTTACAGAAAGATGGGAAGTAAAAGGTAGCAAAACAGAGGAAAGGATTTAGGGTTTCATTAACACCACAACTGCCTTGTAACCACCCTTCCAGTTGGCAGCCAGGGAGGCTCTGGGTGTTGTCAGATGCACGAGAGCACATCCAGCTGTGAGCACCACTGGCTTTCTACAGAAGGCTCAGGGAAAGGCCATCTCACACCATGGAGAAGCAGCCAACCACAGCAGCTTGTAGTTACTGACAGCAGTAGCACAGCCTGTCCCAAGACAAACCTTTGCCTTCCATGAAGACCACGAAGGTGGAGTTAAACTTGTTGGTGGACAGCTTCTCCTCGAGGTCAAACGTCCTCTTGCCTTCAATCTCATCATCAGAGATGCCATCATCCTCGTAACGCCGCCTCATCGTGCCACGCTGAGGAGAGAACAGACCAGGAGATAAGCGATAGGGACCAGGAGGGACAACCAGGGCCTCTGGGGGAGCCCTTGATCCCTGCTTCTGCTCCCAGAGAGGAGATCCTGGATTATATTATCCACTAGATCTGCTCCAAAAGCACTGCTGGGATCAGTTTGCAAGAGGGACATGCCACAGATGATCTATTTAAGCAATGTCTGTCCTGGCTCCAAAACACACCATTGAAACATCAAGTTTGCTCCTCCTCCGACCAAGAGATTTGTGCAAGTTGGGCTGTATGGGAGGCAGATAATCCACTCCCAGTGAGTGCTAACACAGAAACACAGGAGGAGAGGGAAGAGTTCAGTGTAACTGGGGTAAGGAAAGAAGGATGTTACCCATTTTTACAGGTGCATCAGTATTTGCTGCACTGGAGGGGAACGTAAACCCCTGTCACAATGTCAAGTGATAAAGGAAGGGGTTTATGCTGAAGACAATTCCCAAGTTTTCATCTTTGGTTATGCTTGTGCACAGAATTTGATTTATTCCTTGGTTGTGTGGGTGGGAGCAGCAGGAGGGGAAATAACCCTTTTCTTACAGGGTCTCATAAGTACATCTGTACTGGGATTCCTGACAGACATCCTCTTCCAGCAGTCCTGGATCTGGAAGGAATTACTGTCCCCAGCTGTTTGCCCATGCTTCCTTTGTGGGAATGCTCCCTAAATCCCCTCAGACAAAAGTGAACCTGCTCCGAATTAGCCAAGCTGCCTTCCCCCAGTTGGGGATGCTCCCACTGTAAAGCATTCCACACCAACGGGGCCAGCAGACAGGCAGGAGTGGGATGGGATGGGGTGGGGTGGGATGGGATGCAGCAGCTACTGTCACATCTAGGCCTGGAAGCTGGTGGCAGCAGCACGGTGGCCCTGGGAGCAGGGTCACATCCCACCAACAGCCATGGACCATGATGCTGGGATGGCAAAATTCACCATCACTAGTGAGGAGACCAGTGTGCACAGAGAATCATGGAATGGGTTGGACTGGAAAGGACCATAAAGCTCCTCCAGTTCCAACCCCTGCCACGGGCAGGGACACCTTCCACTAGAGCAGGTCGCTCCAAGCCCCTGTGTCCAACCTGGCCTTGAACACTGCCAGGGATGGGGCAGCCAGAGGTTCCTTGGGCAGCCTGTTCCAGTGTCCCACCCCCCAAACCAGGCTGTGATTCTTTTCAGCCTTACCTATTGAAACAGCACCGGTGAAGGAGAAGGGATCCCCTCATACACATGCATTGCTTTAAAGAGGCTTTTACAACTCATTAGCTCACCAGTGCAGGAGCATGTGGGGCCAACTCCTGCCGAAAAAGAACTGCTAACTCCAGCCTCAGCTTCCTAGAAGGCTGATCAATTCACAAGTTGTTTCCCTGCCATCAAAGCAGAGCTCCTTATCTCTCCTTGCTGTTAACACCTCATTAGCTTTCCAACCCCCCTCCTGGACACCTGCGTGACAATAGGGACACAAGGAGTAAAGGGATGCTAATGAGAGGGGCACCTGAGAAAGAGCTCCGAGTATCCTGAACCCAGGCCCTGTGTTGGTGATAGTTAATGTGTCTTAAGCCACCAAACCTGGTATTAGGGAGTATTTTCTGTCACTCTCTTTAACAACACAAAGATAAAACTCACTTTACTTACAGGCTTTATATAAATACACAAACAAAAGACAAATAGAGGTGCCACCCATATTCCTGGGGAACACCTTGTGGCACCAGTGCTGGGTGCCAGGGCCATGAATCCCACTGATCCCAGCACGAATCCAGGGTCTGAAACTCCCAAACCCTCAGTTACTGCATTTAAACTGAGATAGGCTCTTTCAAGGAGATGCATCAGAGCTGAAAGTTGGGGCTGTGGAGGTATTACTGGGAGAGGAGTACTTGGTTGGATTATATTGGAGGATAAGCCCATTTCTAAAGCATCTTCGCTTAAAATTATCATGGAACTGGTTAACTCTGCATAGTGCTTAGTTTTAAAATGAGGGGTCCTGCCCTGCACAGGATTTAGGGCCCGTTCCAAACACATTCCCCCCCTATCAGGAACAAATCCCAGCTCCTGGGAGCATCATCCCAGCACCCTGCTCTTCTGCTGCGACCCAAAGGCTTGACGTCAAGCTTCCAGCTCCTGGAAGCAACAGGAGGAAAAAGCCTTTCCCCCCCATCCACAACCCTCACATCTCACCTTTGTGCTGGTCCTCTGAACTAGTCCAAAACGGCTGCTTGGGAAGGAGGGAATGGGATGGCCATGGTGAGAACGGATGGAGCCGAGGACTGTGCCTGGCTGCTCCGGGCTCTCAGCACGGGCAGGCGGAGCTGTGCTGGCCGCACCTTTGGGGGCAGGAAGCTGCACAACCGGTTCCCATCCCTCTCAGCTCCTGTTACCCCATAGGAGGCTCTGCTGAAGCCCCACAGGCAGTGCAGCATGTACAGAGAGCAGTGAGGGGCTCCCCTCTGGGAGCCAGAGCACCCACTCTTCACCCCACTGCTTCAGGAAGCACCACTCACTGCAGTGTTTGCCCAGGATGGGGTGGGAGAGCCCTGACGAGACCAGCTCAGGGTGCAAACCAGCCCAGTGATTCCAGCTCCATGCACACCCATAGACGCTTCCTCACCTTTGCTGGAGCCAAGGGGGAAGCCCCTTTTGCTGGACAACCATAATTCCCATCCCAGAACCATTTCCAGTCATGGAATGGTTTGGGCTGAAGGGAGCTTGAAGTTCCTTCATTTCCAAGCCCCTGCCATGGGCAGGGACACCTTCCACTAGAGCAGGTTGCTCCAAGCCCCTGTGTCCAACCTGGCCTTGAACACTGCCAGGGATGGGGCAGCCAAAGCTCCTCTGGGCACCCTGTCCCAGCGCCTCAGCACCCTCACAGGGAAGAGCTTCTGCCCAAGAGCTCATCTCAGTCTCCCTTCTGGCAGGTTCAAGCCATTCCCCTTGTCCTGTCCCTACATCCCTTGTCCAAAGCCCCTCTCCAGGTTTCCTGGAGCCCCTTTAGGCCCTGGAGCTGCTCTAAGGTGTCCCCTTCAGGAGCCTTCTCTTCTCCAGGCTGACCCAGCCCAGCTCTCAGCCTGTCCCTCACTCCTGCCCTGAAGAGTCCTGCATGAGAGTGCAGAAGGCTTAGGTCATGTTGGCAAACACCTCAAGGGAACCTGATTTGCAGCTTTCCCTTTCTATTTCCATGCTTTCAGAGAAAGCAGCAGCAGCAGCAGCCATGGTGCTTCCTTGTGCTTGTTTGGACCCTTCACTGTGCAGCCGAAACACGGCTCAGATCCTGCCCTGTGATGCTGTCAGACATCAGCTGCCTGCTGTGGCTCCTGCCAGGACACCTCTGCCTCCTGCTGTCACAACAGCAGCTACAGGAGACTTCAGACTATTTTGCAAGCGCACTAATAACCTTCCAGCATCACCAGTTTTCACTTAGCCCATTCCCAGACAAGGAAAACAAGGAAACAAGGCTTAGGACAAGGCTAGCCCCACAGGTAGCTCCCATTAGAGGATGAGCATAACAAAGTGGAGGATGCTGGGCCCTGCAGTCCAGGAGCTTTACCTGCTTTGGGATCTGCACACTGCAGGACCAGGCTGTGGTTGTGTTTTGACCTGCTCCTACTCCAGACACTTTCAGGTGGCAGGTTTAGGGAAAAGCAGCTCCCTTTCCCAGTGCAGCCACACTAGCCTCTTACCAGCTTCTATCTGGCTCCCAGGCTGGAAGCCCCAGTGGTATTTCAGGACACAACTGGGGTTACTGCATGGGGCTGAAACTCAGGTGTTGAGTATAACCACGAACCTCTCCCTGAGGAAAGCCAGGCTGGAATGCAGCTCCAGGCACAGGGATGATGTCTGGCTGCAGCCCTGTTTCAAGCAGGTATCTCTCACAGCAAAGAGCAGCACAGGCCAGATGACAGCATTGTTCAAGGACACTGGTGGCCTCAAAAGCCTGGCAGCAGCGAGACAGAGCACAAGCAGGCAGATAACCAACATAGTGGAGAACCCCCTCCTGTGCTGTCACCTTGCAGAGACCCTGATGTGCCTCCATTTCCTTTATGGCGTCCCTGATGTGCTCAAATTCCCTTATCCCAGTGGAATGTCAGCTGGCATTAGCTGACTTGCCCCTAGTCACCATTCCACAGCTACTGCCAGGACAGGAAAGACAAGGTGACATGCAGAAGTTGTGTGTGGTTTGAGAGTACCTACAGCATGGATGAATAAGGATCTTATAGAAAAGAGAAGGTTCAGGGGAGACCTTGGAGCAGCTCCAGTGCCTAAAGGGGCTCCAGGAAACCTGGAGAGGGGCTTTGGACAAGGGCCTGTAGGGACAGGACAAGGGGGAATGGCTTGAACCTGCCAGAGGGGAGACTGAGATGAGCTCTGAGGCAGAAGCTCTTCCCTGGGAGGGTGCTGAGGCACTGGCACAGGGTGCCCAGAGAAGCTGTGGCTGCCCCATCCCTGGCAGTGTTCAAGGCCAGGTTGGACACAGGGGCTTGGAGCAACCTGCTCTAGTGGAAGGTGTCCCTGCCCGGGGCAGGGGTTGGAGCTGGAGGAGCTTTAAGCTCCCTTCCAACACAAACCATTCCATGATTCCATATTCCTTGGGAACCTCCCCCAGGCTGAGACCGCTGCAGCCACACAACTGAGCTCTAACCCTGCACAAGCACAGCCTGGCAGCTCCCTTCCAGATTTCCATCTGGTGTGGACACAGTTCCTGCTCTGCCAGACTGCCTGCCAGCCACATCGGGCACTGCCTGTCCTTCTGGAAGTGGCACCAAGCCAGCACGGGCTCTGGATGGTGCAGACCAGCTCATTTAACAGCAGCGTGACCACATGGCCAGGCCTGATCCAGATCCTGCTGGTGCCTCAGGTGGATGCTGCACTCCTGGTGGGGGGGTACAGCATCAGGAAGAAGGGAATCCCACCAGGAGTGACAGAGCCAGGCTTTGAGGACAGATCCCAGCCTACATGATGTGAAGCAGATGATCTGGTCACTCACTAACACGCTTCATGACCAAAGAAACACAACGTGTTTCAGACGATGCCACTGCCATGGACTCACATTACATGGGACAGAACTTCACTTTAGTCCAGCCAGATCCACCCATGGATCTGTTTAGGGAGCAGGGAGCCATTCCCACTCTTTTCCCTGCTCCCACTCACAGCACAGCCTCAAGGCAAACAGAAGACAACCACGCTGCAAAGGTGTGAACACCAAGAAACGGGCAGAAACACCTCCAACTCAAACCCCTTTACAACGGGGAAAGAGATGCAGAACATGGAAGGGATCATCCAGCCGAGCAAATTCCACAGTCCAATACTCCTGTCATCAGGAAGGCATCAGCCACAGCCCCCCCTCCACACTCCCAGCACTGGTTCCTGTGGGCAGGGCAGAGCCTGGCCTCCTCATCTGCACAGCATGGAGGAGAACAGGATCCCAGTCATGGCTGAGGACCCACAAGAGCTGCCACAATACAAAGAGCTCTGTCGTTAGACAACGCCTCTCGCCGGGGCTGCAGCGCTTTCATGTCATTGTTGTCTTGGGAGGGTGGGGAAAAACAACATCTCAGTGTGCGCAGAGCAGACAGGAGGAAGGAAAAGAGCTTCCAAGAGTGTGTTTTGGGAGAGGCAGCATCTGCTTGGGCTTGGGCAGATCTCTGCAGCTCCCTTCTGGAGCCTGCTGCTTCCTCATGGCACAGCTCACAAGCTACAGCCCCCAGAACAGGTCTCCATATGAGGACAGATGTGGTCAGTGTCCAAGCTTAGGGGTAAGCCAAGACCCAGCTGCACAAATCCTTCCTACAAAGTTTGATGTCTCAACTATTGGTTCAGCCAAGGAACTGAGTGCAACTTCCAAACAGGAGATCATTAGACACTCCCAAAACTGCCATCCATGAGGGTGTCCCAGACGGAGCTCAGTTCCAGCAAAGCAAGGGGTAGATGTCAGGCACATCATACAGTCACGGAATGGTTTGGGTTGGAAGGGACCTTAAAGCTCCTCCAGTCCCAACCTCTGCCATGGGCAGGGACACCTTCCACTAGAGCAGGTTGCTCCAAGCCCCTGTGTCCAACCTGGCCTTGAACACTGCCAGGGATTGGGCAGCCACAGCTTCTCTGGGCACCCTGTGCCAGCGCCTCAGCCCCCTCACAGGGAACAACTTCTTCCTTATCTCCAACCTGAACTTCCCCTGTTTCAGTGTGAACCCATCACCCCTTGTCCCATCACTCCAGTCCCTGATGAAGGTCCCTCTCCAGCATCCTTGTAGCCCCCTTCAGCCACTGGAAGCTGCTCTGAGGTCTCCAGCAGCTTCTCTTCTCCAGGCTGAACAGCCCCAATGTTCTCAGCCTGGCTCCATATCACATTTATATACATCTGTCAGACAACCTCAGCATGAAATAGTGATGTTAAATATTGCTTCTTTTTCAGCTCTGAGATCTGTGCTAGGATTCAGGCATTATTCATCCTGATGAGAGTTTTACTAAGGAAGAACTGACAAGCAAGTCCAAAGCCTCTCTCTGTGTCAGACAGGGTCAGGATAAAGGCAGTTTATCCATCCTCCAACACCAGCCAGCAACTCTCATCCAAGATAACTGTCCTTCCCCGTTTCTGGCTCTCCTGGGAACCATTCAATTAAAGTAGGAAATAGGAAGCATGAATATTAATCCTGCAGACAGCACCAGTGTTATCCCTTCTATTCTGATCCTTCCCGCTGCAGTCTCCTTCTCCCAAGGATGCCCAGGGAAGTGCCTCATGCAGCTTCTTCCAAACCCTTCCTTGGACACTTCTCTCCATGGGGAAGCACTGGAGCACAGCTACCTCTAATGGCAAAGGAACTGATAGCTGGCTGCAGAGAATCAGAAGACAAGTCTCCTGTGGGGTTTTCTGAGAGCAGAACAAGTACAAGGTCACATCTGAAAACAGAACAAGCCGTCCTGTTGCTGACAGAGCCTCACATATTTACAGCGTGAAACCAACAAACACCACAGCATTTTAGTCACTTCCTGTCCTATCTGCTGCCATTCCCTCCCTCATATCCCAACACCTCCATCTCCCAGGCCCAGGAAGCTTCCTCCAGCTGTGCCACAGCTCCTACCACTTCAGGAGGCCACAGCACCTCTTGCTTTTCCTCTCCCTCTACTGTGTTTCCAGAGCACGTGCCCTGGTTTGAAGCCTCCCACAACCCTCCCTTATTCCTGCAGAGGAAAGATGTTGACATGAAGAATGCAGACAAGTTCCTGAACTCCCTCCTTCCAAGCTCCTTTCACTGCAGGTACTGCAACTTCTACCTGGCTCCCAGCACATGTACAGAACAGAGGAACCTACCAGTGGATCTCCCTGCTTCACACCTGAGGTTCCTCACTGGGTGCCTCCTTCCCACCCATCCCTATGCAATTTTCTTTGCTGCAACACATCCAAACTGATCATAAACCAACAAGCTCAACTCTCCTCCTTTACGAATTTAGCTTCTCACGTACTTCTGTAAACAGCTGTGGCTCTTGTCTAAGATTAAGTCCAGACCTTCAACATCCAAACCTGTTGATGGGTCTTTTCATCTTGAGCAAGTACCTGCGGCAAACAGCAGCACCCAGAGTTCAGTCTCCAAGATGCTGTGCTGAGAACTGCCAGCAATTTACAGCCACTCCTCAAAGGTCACACAGGATCTGTTGTATCCGTGGGAAAGGGTCCTGTTCCTCTGCGAAGGCACAAGGCAAGAGGATGGCTGAGCATGGAAGCAGCAAGGCCACCATCAGACAGACCTGGGGCAGAGCAGATGCCAGAGCCAGCACTGACCATGCACGGAAGATACTCCCGGGCAGGTATTTTCAGCTACAGCATGAAGAACCAAGGCACAAAGCTGATGACATCCTGTGAGCAGTGTGCCAGGTCACTGCTTAGCTTAAGCACAAGAGCTTTTCCTTTCTATATCCCTCTCCTCCAAGCCTGCACCTCCCACTTCAGCTCCTAGTCCAGGCTCCAAGCTCTGCTCCACACAAGCACATCACCTGTGTTTCTCTCCCCTCTGTGCCTCCCCACCTTCAATCACTTCAGCTTCTCCTCAGCCCCTCTTCCTCCCCAGCATAGGAAGCAATAACCAAACCACCTCCTGCCTTCCTTGGGGTGCAGAGGGTCCTCTAGAGATGGGCCCATATTCTGTTACCATTTTGGCTCTGCAGAGCCATTTGCTTTGCCAAACCACCACCAGTGCCCCAGAGGTGATCAATGAAGTGGTCTTGGGCTCACTGATCCCCAAGCTAGGAGGTGGCACTCAAATAGGATCCAAAGAGAAGGACCATAATCCCCCAAGCAAGAGATCCAGGACAACCTCTAAGTGCCCATATGTGTCCCAGAGCAAGCCCAGGGGCCAGCCCAATGCTAGGACAAGGTTGCAGGTGGCTTTTCACAGCTCTGCGTGCCCTGTCCACCAGTGATGACCATCTGGACAACGTGGCCATCCCAAACCAACTCATGCTTGCCTGGTTTCACAAGAGGAACCCAAGAACTAACCCTGGTTAATGCCCCTCAGCATGTCCTGTCTCCCTCCAAACCTGGCAAGCAGAACCAGCGTAGCCCAGGTTGCACATTCCTGGACAAACACAGACTCAAAAGCACCAGGCTGAGGAGCGAACAGGATTTATGTGGAACTGGAGCCCTTCCAGGCTTCACAGCTCCAGGAGGGATTCCTATCACGAGCAGGGCTGGCAGCAGTTCAGAATGATGGAGGAGAACGCTTTGGTTTGCACTTCTGGGTTATGAAACTGGATGTACACAAGGAGCAATAGGGGAATTGGAGCAGGGCTGACACAGACAGCTCCAACAGGCGAAGGAGAAGTCCAGCAGCTGCTGCTAAACCACAGTGCCCAGCCCCAGCAGCAAACCCACGAGCCAGGGGAACATGCTGCATCACATCACAGATGGACAAGCCTGGCATCAGTCCCAGTGAGGAAACACTGCCCCTAAGAAGGGACACAGCTTCTCAATGCCAGTCACCTGCAGTGTGTTTCATGTGCCCCCACTGTCCCAAACAGCCTTATGGCACTACCAACCCTCAGACCACCCATGCCCATTCCCATCACCAGCTGCAGCACCCTGGGCAATCCCTCCATGGATTCTGTGCCAGCCTGAAGAAGCTCATGAAGGACCATCAGATCCTCCACCATGCCACACCTCAGGACTGAACACTCATCCTCCGAGCCACACACACTGTGTTAAAGCCAATCTTTGACATTCAGCCTTATTATTTCTCATGTAGACTCAGCAAACCCTTTTTATTACCTCCCACCTTTTCAAACCAGAAGGAATCCAAGGAAAAAGCCTGCTGTGTAGAGCCCTTTCCCTACCAGGGTGTCCCCAGCACATGTAGCAGATAGATGAGCATTACCAGCTCTGCTCATCCTTTTGTTCTGGACAGGAAGGCAGAAGAGCAATTGAACAAAGCAAACCAAACTTCTCCAACATTTGGGCTTGAAAACTCCAGGCATTTATCCCTATTATCACTGGGGAAGGAGTGGACCATTCATCTCCAGGCTGCTGAGCCCACACAGACCACAGCACAAGGGACAGATGGAGCCACATGCACTCAGAGGCAGATGTACAGCTCATCCTGCATTAGCAGGTCTCTCTTCTCCCCACCCTATAGACTTCTACCACTGCCTCATGAGAAGTTAGACAAGGTAAGAGCCAACACCAAACAGGACCATCTCCTCTGAGTATCGTACTTGTAGTGAGAACGTGCCTCACTGGTTGGGTCTGCTTCTGTAGATAACAGCTCTATCAAGCAACGGCCTCATCCTTCCCCCAGCACCTTTTATCAGATCTCTTCTCCCAGGCTCTGTGAGGACGTTCTGCAGTCAGCTCCCAACCCCAAGGACCAGCACTAATGAAAACCACAGCTGACGGGGTTAGAACTAGATGATCTGAAGGCCCTTTCCAACCCTAACTATTCTATGATGCTATGATCACACCCCAGAGCCTCTTCCTTAACTTAGAAGGGGGTCGGGGGGTGGGGTGGCTGCTTTATTGAAACTCTTGTTAGCATGATGCCTAAACCAAGTAAAATCCAGGGACGGACAGAAAGCAGCCAGTGTTCAGTGCAGTGTAGGGAGGAAAGTTCCCAGCTCAACTCACCACCTCCGTGTCACAATGACCTGTTCTAGTTGACAGCAGTGAAATTGCCAGTCCCGTCCCCGCAATCCCATCCACACACATAAGCTCATCACATGCAGCACCATGAACCTCAGCTCAGCTCTTCTGGCCACAAGGATGCCACCCAGATTTGCACCCTTCCAGCACTTGACCTGGGTGGAAGCACTACAGAGAACACCAACCCCCCCCCCATCAGACCACTGCACAAGCATGAACTCACCTCTCTGCTCTCACCAACGTGGAATCCCGAACAGATCTCAACCCAAAAATCTCCTCCAGTTCAAGCTCCTAAGACTTCCACAGGGATTCACAGTCCCTGGGCAGCCAGCTCATGCTGTTTACTACCAGCACTGTTTCTACAGCAACAAGGTACACAAGCATGGACACAGGGAAACAGAACAGAGAGAAACCCTGTCCAACAGGACAAGGGGAATGGCTTTAACCTACCAGAGGAGACATTGAGATGAGCTCTGAGGCAGAAGCTCTTCCCTGTGAGGGTGCTGAGGCACTGGCACAGGGTGCCCAGAGAAGCTGTGGCTGCCCCATCCCTGGCAGTGTTCAAGGCCAGGTTGGACACAGGGGCTTGGAGCAACCTGCTCTAGTGGAAGGTGTCCCTGCCTGGGGCAGGGGTTGGAGCTGGAGGAGCTTTAAGGTCCCTTCTAACACAAAGCAGTCTGGGATTCTAAATGGATCCATCTCCTCTCTCCCATCATGGATTCACAGGCTACAGCTATGCATCTTCCTCACCCGGTTCCTAGGGCTGAAGAGGGAAGATGAGCAGAGAACTTGGCAGTGCTGACAGGACATGAGAGGTAGCAAGTTAGAGCAGTAGGATCACGCTCTTACTACCCTCTGGCCCTCAAAAGCTAGAGGCCATTAATGTCCTTGCCAAGAGAGATCTGCAGGTAGCTGAAGGTGGGCAGCACAGGGAGTGAAGACCACCACCAAAGCTCCCCACAGCCCTCAAGAGGCTGAGAGCCTGCCCTAAGCCCTCCAGAAAAGGAATAGAGCCTGGACCAGCCCGAGCACATGTACAACAAAATGTTCTATCTGCAGCTCAACTAACCTGGGACCATCCAAGGCTGTGCTGCTGGCTTCAGATTGTATGGACAGGCTTTTTGATGATGCTTTCCTATGAGTGCAGGCACAAAGAGCTGCTTAGCCTCAGCTGAAATGGTCACATCCCATTTTCCAAACAGAGGCATATGCCTATCCACTGCTCCCTCCCAGTGGAAAGGCTCTGCATGGTTTGTTCTGCTTGACCCCCACCCCAAAACCAAACTGAACCAGGTTCTCCAGGCCAAGTGAAGACAACACCTCCAGTTGTGTGACACATGCTCCCCACCCTTCCTGCCTCCCAGTGCTCCTGACAGCTGGGGATCTTCAGTGTCTAATTATAGGCCCTGTCATCCTACCACAGGATTTGCTCTTCCACTTGCCTCTCCTGCTTTTCCCAAGGCAGCCAAGCAAGATCCTTCTTTGCTCTTATCTCCATCAGGATGAAAACCAGGCCAGACATCCAGGAAGGCCGATCTCAGCTACCACCACAACTCCAAAACACACAGGTAAGTGCCTTGGTGAAGCAGCTGCCACAGGACCACACTGCAGATGCACTGTCCATGCATGATATGTCATGTTCCTCCTCACCTTCTACCTCTTCCACCCAAATAAAAGCAGATCAGACGTTGTGTAAGAAAGTCTGTGAACTCCTAAGTCAACTCTGCCTGCAAATGGAGCTTTCCAGAGCTCAGCTTGTCCACTTGGGCTCACCCATCATTCCCTCCTCTGGAGTCAGCAACACTCTTCTGTCAGCAGCAGCACCAGACAGCTCACCCTGCAGACAACTGCTGTCCCTCGGGTGTTTTCAGAGGACACTTAGTGCACCACCTTGTTTCTCCACCTTCTGTTTCTGCTCAAAACGCAGCCAGTGACCTGCAGATCCCTGTCTGGGTGGCTCCTGACTGATTTAACCAACACAAAACAAGTACTAGGGGCATGGGGACTGCTCTCCTAACTTAGTAGTGTCCCCTCCAGCTGGGATAACCCTGGGAAAACCTGTGTATTAACAGGAGACACAGACATAATTTGTAAGTGTTGTTTGGTAACTCACAGGTAACTTCAAGTGCTCCTGTGCTGTCTGGTGCTCACTCAGTCAGTGCTGCAGCTTCCAGCACACAAAGCACAGCCAGGTTTGGGACACTGAGAAACCAGCTGAGATATCTCCTCTCTGGTGACATGGAACTTCATCCAGTTGATTTCAGGGGTGTGTTCTCCCAGGGACCAGCACACTCTTGCATCTTTCAGGATCTAAATGCTCACAGGGATTTCTAGAGCTTTTCCAAGGATAGCCTCGAGTGGCTGCTAACTTCCAAAGAGCTGCCCAGATCCAATCTCAACAGTCCCTAAATTATTTAAAGCTCAATTATTACACCTGGATCATTTGGAATGACTCATTTGTAGTGTCTATAGTTTGAAGCAGAGGCATGGGGGAGAGATTAATTACTCTACTTGCTCATGTCCTGTCTAGACTAGGAAATGGACAGAGTTTCATGTAGGGCACAGGCAAACTCGCTTACTTGGCAGGGTAAGGGACTGCCAGTGCCAAGGTTCAAATGGGGGTGATGTACATGCACCCAGACTCTCACCCCAGCACATGTGGCTCATCCCATCCTTCAGTACCTGCAGGAACTACTGGGTTCATCCCAGCGCACACGAACAAATCCCAAGTCAATGGGAGTGGCTCTGGGAAAGTCAGTATCCAGCAGGACTGGGCAGGAGGGCAGGCAGCTATGTCCTCCTCTTTGCTGTCTTATCAGACAGAAGCAGTGTCCTGCCAGCTCACAGCTCCTGCTGACCTCCCTCTCCCTGCTTTGAGGCCACCTACTCCCTTGGTGGTGTGAGGATAAGGGCACAAACATACATGATCCTTCCTGGCCCCATGGGTTGTGTCCTGCATTTGACATCACCCCATCCTGCAGAAAGGATGTGGTACCACCAAATGACTTGGAAACCACAAGACTCTGAGCACCCATCAGAGCCAGTCTCCCTCACCCGAGTGTGCTGAGGCCACTCCACACATGGCTGGGAGAGGGAAACCTTCCCCTGGATGCTCCCCAAGCTTCATCCCTCAGCTGATGACTCCATGTACTGTGAAGCTCATGTGAGCCTGTGCCCAGGGGGTAGCACGGACACCAACATGTAAGGGCAGGTTTGCTAAGTGCTGTTTACAGGAGAGGCCTCAGGTTTTGGCTGGTAGGGACAGGCAGAGGCCTCCTCTCAGGTTTCACACAAGGATCTGACCAGAGGGCAGGGCAGTGCTAAGGCAGGACGCAGACTGCCCCAAGCAATGGGAGAGACAGCATTTCATCCCCCCTTCTCTCCCATACGCACCCAGAACACTTAACAGCAGGTGAGTCTCCTCCTCCGTGACCCTTCATGGGTGTCACATCACCCTCCAACAACCAAAACAAGGGTGCTGCTGCACCCAGCCATGATGGTCAAGGGTCCAGGCACTGCAATACCTTCATCCTGAGCCCCAGAGAGCACCCACGGCCCTGAGGGAGGCTGCAGCTCCACCGCAGGCTCTCTGCAGCTGCGGAGCCAGTTGAAGAGGTTCCAACTCCTCCCTGTCTCCCCATCTCAGGCTGCCACCTCCCCACTCTCATTGGGTTGGCTGATGGGGCAGCAGCTCGTAGCACAGCACAGACAACAATCTAGATTTGATGCTCCCCCTCTGCTGCCAACTTTTATCTAGGGCATGATCCACAACTCCCTAAAGCAGCATTTACCTCAGGGGCATCAGCTCCTGAGGCACTAAGGGAGGAAACCTCCTAAACCAGCTCTGCCACTCCAGCAATGCTGGAACCACACCCTTAGATACAGACTGCTGACTTGACAGCAGCAGAGGCACCAGGATGGGCAGGATTTGTCCTTAAGGCGATGGCACTCACCTGCCAAACCATTCTGAAGTGCTTCGACTCTGCTGCCCTTCATTCCTCACCATCACTGTTGCCACTGGAAGCATCTGGCATCACTTTGGTGATGTTTGGTGAGGTGCTGGCACAGGGTGCCCAGAGGAGCTGTGGCTGCCCCATCCCTGGCAGTGTTCAAGGCCAGGTTGGACACAGGGGCTTGGAGCAACCTGCTCCAGTGGAAGGTGTCCCTGCCCGTGGTAGGGGTTGGAGCTGGAGGAGCTTTAAGGTCTCTTCCAACACAAACCATTCCATGATTCCATGTGCTACTCCCAGTTTATAATTCACAGTCTGGCTAGTTTTAGTTCAAGCAAAGGCCTGGTAAAAGTAGCCTGGAGCAGACAGAAGGCATCATTTCCTCACACTTATAGCACCCTGGAATATCCAATGGCTGCAGAAGGATGGGCAGACCCCAGCCCCACATCCCACTGAGGAGCCCTGTGACAGCTCCGCAGATTCACACACATCTGGATGGGTCAGGGGGCTTTGTGTGTGGTGAAGGTTGGAGTAAGTGAGAAACCCCTCCTCAGCAGAGCACAGCAAGGCAGGCACCTCACCTCAAGCACAACAAGAACATCTTCAGTACGTGCTGGGTCAGAGA